ATAAAAGTATTACCTTCAGTTTGATAAGATGAAACTAATGTTTCATTAAGATTAGACACGAAATTTCGCTAGACATGAAAAATAAATTTAAATGTACAGTACTTACTAACTTACTTACGCCTGTTACTTCCAATGGAGCATAGGCCGTTGATGTAATGTAATCACAATCGATAGCATTCAATCAGCACCAAGAAGGACTTGACAAGCATGACACTGATCACCACCCAGTGACCAATCAATTGCGATTATATCTAAGTCATACAGGAGGTCGATCGCGGCCCGAATAGCTCAGTGGTAACGTCTCTGACTGCGAATCTGATCGAATTCGTCAGGGAGCACCAGTTCCCTCAAGAGAACAGGTAAACCTTGCTGACGAGTGCCAAGTAGCATGAAACCCGGGTCCAGGGTTTCCTGTTGACCACCTCTAACCACCATCTTACTGATGCTGGTGTTTTCTTTTTATTCACTGCTATCTGATAGTTATATGAAATGTTCAGTGATATAAACGCGGACTATACTTCATTAACTCATCCATTCCAACATAAATCTATGTTTTGAAGAATTTTGGGATCATTGATTGATCCTTTTGTAGTGAACGTTTTTGAGATGTTTCTTATAATTTATATACCAACCGTTTTGATAACCGCTATTAGACAAATCCTATAATGGTGTATAATTTTCGGAAGACAATACAACTACAGTTTATCTCTGCATAGCACAAATCAAACAATCATCAAGTACTCGATACAAATACAAATTGATGAAGTTGATTTAATTGAGTACCACTATTTACCGAATTACTTGTCATCTTAATAAAGGTTCAAATAGCGCTGACAATTTAGTTAATAGTATCATCTAAACACTCTATTGAAAAAAGATTCAAACTTGTAAAACTTAAATAAAACAAACTGACTATGAAGAGAAACGTCTACAAAACAAAAATTAAAATCATCTTAAAAATCAAAAGCTTTTAGTATAATCATTCTATCTTTTACCTATGCAGTAAAACTAAGATTATAGTCATTTGTAGGCAAAAAAACAACAGGAAATAATCACAAACTAATGATGTAAATCATTAAATTAGTGAATAAGAAATTCCCTATTCTCATTATTTTGAAACTCTAATCGTTTTTAAAGTATCCAGTGAAAATAACTTTAGACATATCTTGAGGTATACTATGGGAGTTATTGCAAATCAAAAACCAGGATCTATTGGGCATGTCTATAATTGTGAAAAAATCCGTGTCTTTTTTTAAATAGTTAATTTATAAACAAAATTTAATCGTAAATTTCTTTGATTGAGATGATGAATCAATAAATGTTAGATTAGCATTGAAAACCTGCAAGTACTGGACGGTTATTTCAGCCTATTATAGGACTGCTTAGCAATGCACACCCACGACCTCACTCGTAGGATTCGAACCCAGGCCCTTCGGTCTCGTGCGCAAACGCTTAACCTCTAGACCACTGAGCTAGCTGGAATCTAACGATATTAATGTCTAACATCAACCAATCTACGTAATTCCACAATAATCTTTCATTTTATTGAGGTAGATACCTATCTCTTTTTGACATCAATCTATTCATGATCCCAATCAAAAACTTAATAACCTCCCCAACCCCACACCGTTAATTTTGAATACTATAACTATACTGTCTGAAATACATTCATTTTTTTCTGTTTTGTGTCATAATGTAGTGATCAAAACGCGACTACGGACAATCGAATGTACTTAGACACAATTTACAGAATATCTCACTAAATTCTGATAACCATACAGTAACAATAACAATCAATTGTCTCAGTCTTCACTGTTCCTTCTGAAAATATCAGTTCATCTTCTCTGATTTCATTGTTTATGCATTTTAATACCGATTGCGCTTCATTTCAGTTCTTTCCTTATCGGTCTTCTGACAAAATACATTCTATGTCTGACCATCATCATATACTACTTATATAAATAGAAGTAGACCACACTACAATATTATTAAATTAAGACATATTGAAAACTAATTTTCTATTCATATAATATGCTAATTAATGTGTAATATATTAATAATACCAGTTCATTATCATTCTAACCTCTCGAATTCTGTTACTAAATATATAAAGTATTGATATAGTTGAACACTCTTATACATATATTTATTAAATGATTATTAGGCCAACATTATATAATTGTAATGTAATTGTATATTATGCAATATAAAATTGTAATTTAATGTTTTACACATTACCGTCTTTTTTTTTCTAAAATAGTAACCCTTAATATAAATCAATAGGATATGAAACATGTGACTAAATGGTTTACCAAAATCGAATGTATTACCGACAACAATAAAAAATTGCTTATATTTGTTTATATATTATTTGACAGAATTTAAACTGGACATGTAATCATGTCCTACTATTTATACAAAATGATTTTTTTAATGGTAGATTTACTGAAACAATGCAACTAGGCCTTCCTATATGATTATATGGAAAACAATATGATATTTACATTTGTAATAGATTTATTCATTTGTTTTTTTGTTATTTATACATTTGGCAGGTTATTTAAACTTTTTCTCATGATTTTAATAGTTTAGATCATGATTCAATTAAAGCTAGACCACCATGAAAAACCTAGAAGCACTGCTAGATGACCATTTTGTACTATTGTTGAACTTCTTAGCAGTGGGCATCCACGATCCCACCCTGCGAGATTCGGACCCAGGACCTATCAGTATCGCACGCGAGTGCTTCACCTTTAAACCGCTGAAACAGTTCGTGATCTTAACTAATAAATTTTTCTTATAAGTTGAAATGTAAAACATTATCATCTCTGATACGTTCTTAATAAATAATTAGAATATCTAAGCCATTTGTTGTTAATAGATAAATGTTCTAAAAGTAAAGTGCTGAGATTTTTTAAGTATAAATCATGTCCAATGAGAAATTTAAAAAAACTGATGAGTTACCTGGATATCGTTTTGATACTTTGTACTGTCATGTAGATAAGATGAAGTTTAACTTAATAAAGTTTGTATTAAACTTAACCTTTTTTCATTCTTAGTTACTTAGATTTTAGCTGGAAAGTGTAAAATAGGATATCAAATGCGATATCTAAAATGCTTCTTCTATTGCTAACGATTCGTTTCATTTGGTTTGCATACCACTTCCATATTTCAGATGTATTGCACATCATATAAAAGACCCCTAATTACTTGTTAACTAATTCCATATATTCATGGTCTTACTGAGTTGTTAACAAATAATTAACAATTTAGCTTAAATGAACACTGTCCTTAATTATTTCGTAACGGTTAGCAGAAGTATGGTTCATAATGCAATTCGAACTTGACATTGGAAATAATTGGGTTTGGAATAGATCAATATAGTGAGATAGTAACATTTCAGTATGCTTATGTAATACAAAACAGCAAACAAAGTTATGGGATTATAGTATTTTATTGGTCTATACGTGAGAAATACGAAATTTTTTAAAACACTCTAATGAATTTGTCTTTGGGATAACCATTTGGACAGCCAACATGATTCATTGATCAGTGCATTTGAACTCTGTTAATTTTTGATATAGCATAATTTTGTTTAATCTGAGATCAGTGACTTGAATAACCCTGTGATCAAGAAATCGCTTATCAACTAATTACCTTTTCAATCACTGATAAAATACCAATCAGCGTATAGTCGACTTTTTTTCTGAGAGATTTTATTCATCGTAGACTTTTAATTAAGCTTAATCAAAACATGATCTATATATAGCATAAGGGTTTTTAATTTTTTCATTTATATAACCCACACATAACACATACCTAAAGAAAGAATCATTATACACAATAATTAATCAGTTTATTTGAAAGTGTCGATATTTTGAAAATGGTTTGTGATTAGTCCAATTAAGCATCTGCTTTTCATTCAATAAATTATTTGCTGAATAGGGAAGGTAAATTAACATAACAGTCACCCAAAGTAGCTTTTTTGATACAAATATCTGTTATTTGAGAACTAGTTGCCAATGAAATACTTTTGTCGTGACTGACTAGCAACCAGAGTAACTACAAGGTTACCATTATAAGCATAAAATAGATGGTGATTAGCAGTTAAATCCAGAGCACAGATTTCGTCCTATTTGAGACTTGTCAGCTAGATGTTTCAGGATCTGAGTTTGTTTTCAGTTAAAAATGGTGCATTATATTTGTAATATGATATTATAATTAGTTACCGTTTTTAGTGAGTTAGCTTCCTAGGGGATGGAATTGCTAACCTCATACCCAACTCTTCTCCTTTATCCGGGATTGGAACCAGCAGTAGCTCCTGAGACGCTCCAGGTGGAGTTAATGTTATAACTGTATGATAGCTGATTTATTGTCACTAACTTTACAATCATTTCCAACTAGACTTTGACTGACTCTTCATATGAATCATCTTTTGATCTGAATATCAATTCTTAGAAAGTGACTTAGTGAACGAATAAGTAGTTTTAGACATTTCAGTCTAAGTAAATTACTGTCATCCATGAGATACAGATTTCAAAACTTTATATTTTGTAAGTGAAATATACCAATAATTTGACTATTCAATGAAATTCAATCACTAGAAACAGTTAATTTATTTTCATAGTTGAAAGCGTGAGTCAATTGAAGCTAGACCACCAGGGAAAATCTGGAAGCATTGGACGGCCGTTTCGTTCAACTGTAGGACTCCTCAGCAGTGCACATCCACGACATCGCCTCGCGAGATTCGAACCCGAAACCTACCATTCTCGCGAGGCGAGGTCGTGGATGCGCACTGCCTAGGAGTCCCACAGTTGAACGAAACGGCCGTCCAATGCTTCCAGGTTTTCCCTGGTGGTCTAGCTTCAATTGACTCACGCTTTCATTTATAAAAATACTAAATCTCCACAAAAAACCCTTTCTGAGTTAATTTATTATTTTACATAAATACTTGATCCATATACTCAGTATCTCATATTATTTTTCCTACCTTTATTTAGATATTGTTTTAGTGCAATCAGAATAGTTTTATGCCAATTACCCAAGTGAAAAAATCGTAAGAAACATTCAATAACTACAATCACAATAACAAGATCCTTTTAAATACAAAAAAATTACACACAAATCAAAAGAAAAAGAGAAAGTGGGAAAATTAAATATTAAAAAAAACAACAGAACAACCCAGCAACGAACTAAAATTGAAAAGACAAGAAAACAAAAGGAGGTTAACTAATTGATTGACAGATTAACTAAAAGACAGATGTTTCGCAGCTGTATAATTCTAATTTTATTAATATTCATTTTACTTTCTTATTCTATTGTACATAGTAAGTTATCACTCTTTTTTGTTTTAATGATTAATTAATTAATTATTATACTCAATTATAATTTAATTAAGTTATTTTTTTAATATTTTATTAAATTTATATTAATTTTTTGGATAAGTAATTACTCGAAACAATATCACAGCTTGTCATTATAAAGTGATGGTTTTATTTTTTTTCGGGTTAGCGTTTTTTCAGCGAGTTAGTTCTTCTACAGGATGGGATGGTTAACCGCATGCCCAACCCTCCCCCTTCATTATCCGGGCTTGAGACCGACAGTAACTCTAGAAGAGTTACGAGTGAAGTTATGGTTTTTATTTATCAAATCTAATCAATTTTTACTTTATAAGAAGTTTTAATTTCAATACTTTAATAAAACTGTCTCTGTATGTAAATAACCTTTTTTTTCTTTCTGAAAAGAAATTAACAACTTCTTTTGTAATTCATTTAAACATTGTCTTGTCAAACGGATTTAAATAGCTGTTTCATATCTAAACAAATTAAAAAGAGCTATATTTCCCTAAGAAATTCAATGTTAAATTTTGGTAATTATTGAAACAAACATATATGGTGGCTAGAAGTGGAATCTAGGACACCCGTTTCATCATATTTGGGACTCATCAAATAGGGTGAAACGCGCATCCTGTATTCCACTGATAGCCACTAAAAATCTTTCCTTAGGATGCTTGTGACTTGAGGGAATATCGAAGCAATCCGCACAGGATGCATATATGCCAATAAGAGACTGATCAATTGCAATCCTAAACATCAATAGGAAGATTCAAATAAACATTATCAAATGAACTATTGAAACAATTCGATAATTTGATGCAACAAATTGACCTGATTAATTCGATAGACGACTTTGTTTATTTAAATACATCTTAATAAAAACAATAAAAGGGGGTTGTTTGTGGAGATTTTTAGTAATTTTTTTATATATAGTTGAAATCATGAATCAATTGAAGCTAGACCACAATGGAAAACCTGGAAGCACTTGACGGCAGTTTCGTCCTATTGTGAGACTCCTCCTTAACTTTTCAAAAGGATTTTATAAAAGAGTAGGTAAAACTCCACATTCAGAATAAATTCATGACGCAGTTCATTTTTTCAAAACATATTTTATCGTGAAACAGAAAATGACTGAGCGAAGAGATAATCATTTTGAACCTTTACAAACTTGTACCATAGGTCCGTCAATATCGTAACCCTACTAGTATAAATCGATGAACCTTGTAAAACTCACTAATGAACTCCAAAACTCAATAAGTACTGATTCCTATAAAATATTAAGATCTTATTGAACGTACCTTACAAATCTCTACTGCTATTCATACATAAATATTTAAGGTTATCTTTATCATTAGCTGCCATGATTCAACAGAATACAAAAAATCATGGAGATGTAAATAAATGTTTTGTTCCATTTTTAAACTATTCAGAAGATTGCAACCATAACTCTATCAAACAGATCACGATATTTTGAAACTACCGAGTTGAAATTCAATGATCCGCCTCTTTTTTTCTAAACGTATCATTTTTAATAAAACAGATTGTTCTAACATGAATAATAATAAAAAAAATTCACATTCCAAACACTAAATAGATATTCAAGTTTTAATTCATTATATCAAAAATATCATTTATTTTTAGTATTTAAACAATGAATCAAGTTTTGTTTGCCAAATAACTTTGAACTAAGATCTCACAATAAATCTTTTCTTTTACTGTATTGTAAATATGAATAACTGTATAAATCATTGAACTACCTAGAAACTTGAATTTTATGTTTCTTTTCTTTTCTTTTTGTTCTTTTACTTCAACTATTCATTGTAGACTATAACTTCTATAAAACTTCATTAATCAAAAATTCATGTAATTTTGTGAATACATTTTACATTTACAAATGTATTCAGAAAAAGAAAAAGGAATATAACACAATTTCAAAGATTCTATAATTTATTTTTTTTTGTAGAATTTCTCGGTGACTTTTAAACAGGGAAACTAATCTTAGCAACTGGATTTACGAGGGAACAATTTGTTTTATTGACTAATAGCCAAAATACCTTCTTATAGAAACTACTGAACGAACTATATATATAAGATAAATATACAGAGTATGACTCAACCAAATAAGAAGTCTATAACTACATTCAATAAAATATGGAATAGATATAATTTAAATATCATCGTGACAATCATCGTTTTATTCATGTATGAAACTTTCAATGATGAAAAGATCTCAGTGTATCCAATATGTATGTATCGATAGATTTCTAATAAATACTTAAATGTTGGGAATTCCTTCAATCACAATGTAGTGAACGAGAATACAAGTGGGGAAAATAGAAACTGAGAACCATTCAATAAATATTTCATTTGCAAAATGTCAATCAATTTTCACAAATTTGATTGTTTTTTTTTTGCAAATATCAGTCAGTCGTTTCATATTTCATTGTTCCTTCGTTTCCGTGCCACCCATTCTCTGTTCTTATTATTTTTCTTGAACATCATAACCTTCTGCCACCAGGTATTTTACTTTTGATAATTTTGATAGATACTACTTATATCTATCGACATCAGTAGCACACAACACATTAATAATATTTGTTATTATTCCAACTAAGGATGGAAGGCATGCAAATACACATCTCTCTAAATAGTTAAGCGTGTTTTTTAACCTTTTCGTGTTTTATTTAAAGTTGTTTGAATGAAAGACTCACGATAAACACTAGTTTATCACTAGATTAGGTTTGATTTAATTATTATTGTTTTTATTTCAGCACAAAATGTAAACAAATATGCGCTGGGAAATTTTAATTAGTTCAAGCTAAAAAAAGAAACTGAACACATATGTCTCACATGGAATTCGTTTTCATATAACTGAGTTATAGAAATTCTCTTCATGAACATATGCTTAAGTGAAAAAGATTTAAAGATCTAATAGATTTCTCTCATTAATTGTGAAATCAATGATTGATAAAGATTTAACGAATCGGACCGAAAAAGGCTTGACTGTTCCCACTTTCTAATTTCTGTATCTACAGTCGAAGGAAAACTTGTATTCTCTTTACTATTTGGGATTGCGGAACAAAATAACATACCCTAATAATGACGGATTAAGTTTAAAAGGCAATTATATTATTACAAAAGTTATAACAGTTTAAGATGATTGGGCTAAAGGCAAAAGGTGTGATTAGAATTTTAATGATGCTTTGCTTGATAATTGCTTTCTTTCTGAAAATTTCTACTGAATATTAATTTTTATGCGCATGCTTATTATAATTGAAACGTTTTCAAACCCTAGGTTACTATAAGTCATGAATTGTTGTCTAGTTGAAAAATAGATAGAAACAAGTCTAGTGATTTGTAATAAGAAGTTTTGAGTGACTGGTAAAATATTTACAGTTAGTTGCTGCTCGTAAATAAAAGTTGCTAGCCTACCCGATAGTTCAAGATGAACACGATACTCTATTAACATTCTTATCATGTTTGAATATATATGTATAAGTCTCTAAAGTACACAGAAAAACAGTTTGTGTAATCGTTTATGTCAGTTAGTGACCGTGTTTTAAGTTCTGTTAGTTGTATATATCCCATATAAAAGTTTATATTCATTCATTAACAATAATCGACTATGATTTTACTTTTTACCAGATCTATTATTCTTCTTCGTTGTTAAAGTAGTCAACTGAATAAAGCCACTTCTGTTATTAACGTAAAACATTACGTAGCTAAAAAGCTCTATACCGTGTATGTTACATGGTTAGAGTTAGTGGATGAGAAGTTATGGGCACATACCTCACGCCTTTTGGTACTCATCAACAAGGTACATGCGTAACCATGAGAGAACCGATAGTTTCTGATGGATTCAAACTTTCACCTCCTTAGATCTTCAACCATCTAACATTTCAAAACACTGCACGAGATCTCAGGTCCTTTAGATTGGTACTATAGGGCTGGACAAGTATAAAATCAGCCACTACTCACTGACCAATCAACTACCGATATCGCGTTTAATTATCTAGAGATAAATGTTAATGAAATGTAAATTAAACCACAAATGTCTGCTATCAGCACTTCTACTTAAAGTAAATTTCTATGCAGTTATAATTAAGTATTCACAAAATATGGTGTCATTACTGATAAGTCATAGAACAAGAAGAACATTCTTATTTAACAACATGTATATAATTTACAGATTGTTGTGTATAGTAAATAAACTAACAAAAGTATGCAATTATATCTCATCACTGAATACTGTAATATTATTCAGTTTTATTTCACATAATATTGTGGTGTATACTACTGACGTCGATAGGTAAAAGTAGTGTGTATCATCAATCGAAAGTAAAGTACCTGGTGGCAGAAGGTTAAAAAGATCAAAGAAAATAGAACGAGAACAAAGAATGACTAGTGAGAAGACGAAAGAACAATGAAGTATGGAACGATTAACTGATATTTTGCAAATGAAATATTTACTGTATTGTACTCAGATTTTATTAAGTGATCTTATAATTTGTGTTGAAATACATTCTATTGTTCCCTTTTATTTTCTAGTTCACTAAAATATAATAACCAATCTAGTCCATTTCTTTAACTCTCAAGCTCTACCACTTGTATATTGTTTCTTTTTCTTTGTAGATACTCATCCCAGTGAACAAAATCATACAATTGTTTTGTTAGATTTAAAATCAGGCAACAATAGTTTACCTATTCATCATTATCTTTCAAATATTATTCAATCAATGATCAATAAACAAGATTCATTTGAACAAAATCATTATATTAAAACTGGTTCTGTAATTACAATAGATTGCATTGTATTTAATATAAAAAAGAAGTTTGAGAATGAACCGTTCAATCTTATTAAACAGCCTATACACCAACAACCAGTAAATAAACATTTAAAACGACTATACTATACTGATTGTGCATCAATAAATAAGAAAAGAGATTTATATGGTATTCATTGTAATTATTTATCATTTAAACAAGAGATTACAAACAATAAGAATGAATTGAATGAATATAACAAGTTTCCATATAAACAAATAGATATTTTTCGATATACAATTTATCAAGTAAATAATAGTTTCAATGGACGTTGGATATGTTTTTCTGATGATGATAATAAGTCAAGTAAAGTTCATAATCTTATTATTTCAGGTATGCCTCTTTTTTTCAAATGTTCAAAACATTTTGATTTAATAGTTGAATTCATGAGTTAATTGAAGCTAGATCAACATGAAAAACCTGGATGCACTGGATGACCGTTTCGTCCCACTATGGGACTGCCTCCAAATGCCCTGGTACGGCCGAGAGTGGGTAGAGTTCGCTCTATCTCTCCAAATGCTCTCACATGGCCATGCATGTATAGCCTTTGCCAGGGAAGTCCTGCTCACTGCCTTCTCGTGGCGGGGGTGATTTTGCTAAACTGAAAGGATGAAAAACGAATGTCCGGTTCTTTAACCAGGCCGATAAACACAGTGAGTCCACATAGGGGAGTTAGAAAACCCTGATTCCAAACCAATGGTGCACAGTATCCTGAAGAAACAAATGGCGTATGAGTCCATCGTCGATCACCGGCTACCATGAGAATGCATCTCTTCACGATGCTTCACTGCCTTGTGGATCACACCTTTAGGTCAAAGGCTCGGGGTGTGACAGCATCGCAGTTCACACAGATCAAATGAAAAAAATGTTTTGAAGCTGTTTAAATCTGTCTGTTGATTACATTCTATCGATCGCATCGATTAATGAAATACACACGTCTCTCACTCCTAGATGTTCAACAAGTTGATGGTAACTAACTGAACAGACAGATAGTGAGTTGCTAGTCAATATAAGTATTATTGAGAAAACTCATACTGATATAAAAGTAAAATTAAGTAAGGAATCTTAAGAGAATAAAACTATTATTTTTTAATCCCACTACTAACTACTTTCCAAGATATAATTCAGCATATAAGTAATATCACTCTCTCGATTGATATTTTTATTTATGATGTTACTATCCTTAGTAGATTTAATATTTTACTATCAGAAAGTTTTAATGATGTAATTATTGACTGAATATGAAAAATAATTGAAATTCTACAATTTGTATGTTAAAAATGCTTCGAAAAACTGAATGCAGTAGTGAACTAAAAAAAAACTAATTTATCGATGTACATCTCAAATGAGATTTATATTAGTAACATTTCTAACTCATTTTCACCTACTAAGATATTAGAAGGTGCAGGACAGAGTGGGTTGGAGAATGCTAGTCGACAGCCTATGCTTCATAAGGGGTAACAGGCGTAAGTAATTAAGATGTTAGAAGACAGTAAAAACTATTTTTCACGACCTCTATGTTTAAATTAAGCAATATGTTTCTTATTTTTTGGTACTTTTAACAATACTAGTCACTTACTAGTAATCTATATCTTGTTTTATGATCCTCAGTATTGATTAAATTCTATCGATTGAAATTGTAATATAGCTACCATTATCGTTTAATGTATATTACAATGTCTATTATTTGACGTCAGATTATTGGAGTACTTTACAAAGAACCTGATCCCAGGTTTTGTGCTAGTTGAAATTCATCAACTAGGCTTATTTGATTTCTTAGTCAGGTGGTTGGAAATAATTGAGAAAAAAACAGTAGTGACAAACTGAAGTTTTGAGATCTTTAAAAGGGTGATGAGAACTTCAATTTGAAATAAATAAAACGTTTGCATGAATGATGTGACCTGTAATAAGCTGAACAATTATATTGCGAACTATGAAATCCATAGTACTACTGAAATAAATCACTCATCATTGTAGTAAATGAAAGTGAATTTTCTTAAGTTATTTTAACTCTAAAATAACCCATTTCTATTGAAAGTAAACACTAGATATATTGTTAAGTTTGAAAAAGTCGTAATCTTTTAGATATTCTTCAATACCGGTTGATATATTAATATTTTATCAGCAGTGACTAGCTTCAAGATATAACCCCTGAAGTTCTAGTGAGAAGCATTGACCAATAAAGTCCAACCCGTGTTGGGTGTGAAACAGTTATCCACCTCACACAATGGATAAAGGGTTGCGCTATATTATGGATTGCCTGAAGTTAGACATGAACACCATTGGATGCTAACTCAGTGGTCTCTAGATCAGGTGTTCGCGTGCGTGATCGAAGATCTTGAGCTTGAGTTCCACGTGCAGGACTATGGATGCGCACTGCTGGGAAGTCTCACACTAGGACGAATTGTCATCCAGTGCTTCTGGGTTTTCATTGGTGGTTTAGCTTAGATCTATTCGTGCTTTCAACTGCGAAAATATTAAAATTTATTTGTGATATAATAAATTTCATTTGAAGATTAGTTTCATAGTACTTTGATATATAAAAAGTTGGATGTTGTATTATTTCTTTCTTTCAACGAAAATAATTTATGATCATATCTACCACATAGCACAATGATTCGTTAAGATGCTCTTTTTTGAAACTTCACACTTTAATAATAAATTATATAGCTTAGTGAATCATTAACACTGTACTACTAACGTTTATTGTATATTTCACTGAAAACATTTGTGTTTGAACTAGTTTTTGGTTAACCAAAGCATTTTTGCATTCAAGTATATATTTATATATAAAAAAAATTAAACAAAGATATAAAGTACATAAGGCCGAAATGTTTGACGCCAGAAAAGATGTAAATATATCAATTCGTTAATTATTTCAAACATTGAGAATTTATCATTATTCCCATTATCATTTCAGCATATTCGCTGAAGAGGATCAAAATGATGTATTTATTAATTCTTCTAATGCTCCATAAAATTAATAAACTGATATATATACACACAAGTTGGATAAACTGAAGTCATACATAAAAAGACAACCCCCCCCCTTTTTTTAAAGTCTCCTTGAAACACTCTTTTCTCAATCTAACAAAATATATTTAGTATTAATGAAGAACAAAAGATGATGTTATTATAGTTATCGTTTGTTTACGTTATTGCCCATTATTCAGTTCATCCTTTATTTTTGGTTAAAACATGAAAAAAAATTAGCGACCTATTTGTAGGTTAATTATGAAATGAAAAGAGTGAGCTTTAAGCTTTGAACAGTCAATTATAGTGCACTACAATACACTACACTTCAAAATATTTACATAAACAACAATGTAACTGGTGCTTTTTTAACTTTGGAAATAATAATTAATGTTACTATTCTATACCACATCAAGAAGATATATGTATACTAATTAGATAAGATATCTATATTCCTTTTCAAAGAATCTATGTTTAGTGCGAAGATTTTCTTGGCACCGAAAAACCCCAACATTCATTAATCATATAAGGTGATAAATAATTTGAATTTTCGAGTATTTCCAAAACTAATGAGAATTACTGAATTTTGTTATCATAATTTGACATAATATAAACAAATAGTCTGAAAATACATAACTCTAGTATACAAAGTAATAAATGCTGAATTGTAACATAGAAGGATATAGGTGGAGTTTTGTTGCCTCAGCTGGATAGTTTGGTCGCAGAGCTTTCATTATTCTTCTGAACAACATTATCAGCACAAATTTCGGGTAGAAGTGTTGATGATACTGTTCAGAAGAATAATGAAAGCTATAATACCAAACCATTCAGCTCACAGAACAAACATTCACCTAATCATCTACCTAAGCTAAAATTTCTTTACATCATTTCATGAAAGAACATACTATCTCTAGAGGCAATATCCGTTAAACTTAGTACAAATCAGTTTATCTTAAAACAAAATATATCATATTAACAAACTTCAAAGAACAATATTTTAGATAACTTTAAAAATTATTTGGTTATCAGTGATAATTATTGACCGAAAAACAGTCAAGTACGGAAGGTCATTTGTAACTGTTTAGTGAACCATAAACAAACTGAATAGTACAAACCAGCAAAAATCACTTAAAACTCAACAGACGTATGATTTTAAAATGAAGTAATTATCCTGAAATTAATCGTACTTCAATGATTACTAAGAATTAATGTTGTGACTACTTAAATGTACCTTAAATGTAAAAATAACTATACATGATTATGTACTATATTGGATAAATAATAATCAGGACAGTTTATTGTCTTTTATTCAAGGATGTTCATAAAATTGCTAACTCCTTTCGATGTGATGTTCTCTTCAATTACGAAACAAGGATACAACTGAGGTTGTAGCTTAGAGGTTCATCAAGTTAATACGTTTAGTTTTATCGTCAGTTACAGTATTTTCAAATCACTTTCTAGTGATTGTCTAGCGTACATTAAATCTAAAGACTTATATAACATCCATAATACAAAATGCTTTGATAGACAAATACTCTTCTTATTCTTTACATGTTGGTTCTTTATAAAATACTTTACCATTTATTTGGTATGTTAATGTTTAAAAATTAAAATAAACAATGATTATTCAATTTTACGGGATTAAAAAATATCTAGAGTTATAGAATAAATTAATGAGAAATATTTCTGTGCTCGTTTTTTTTAAATTCCGCGAAAAATGAAAATGTATTACATTTCATTCACTTAATTGTTATAACTTACTAACTTGACCAGCATTCTCCATCCAACTCTGTCCAGGACAAACCTTTCCAATTCCTTCCTGTTGCTATTCATCCTTTTCATATCTGCTTCTATTTCCCGGCGTAATGTGTTCTTTGGACTTCCTCTTTTCCGATTCCCTTCCGAATTCCAAGTTAGGGATTGCCTCGTGATGCTGTTTGGTGATTTTCTTTATCTATGTCCGATCTACTTCCAACGTCTTTTCCTAATTCCCTCTTCAGCTGGAAGCTAATTTAATTGTTATGGCATTTATTTATTACAGCAAAAAATAGTAACTAGGCAAAATAATTTTTTACAGCATAAATATAAGGCAAAAACGGTGTTGTTCAGTAATCGTAATTATGAATTATTCACATTATGTCCAATGACTGTCGTCATGAACATAATATAAGAAAAATAAGCGTTTGATAGCTAATTTAATAAATAAAACAATTCTGTTTTGAAGTAGTTTCCCTTGATCTTTTGGTAGTTTTATAGACTGTGACTAAAATATTCAAGTCACATCAGAGTACTATCGTCTATCAAACTTGTAATAATTAATCATTTTGGGAATAATAAAATTTACAGAATGACCTTTACAGCTTCTAAAAGTATAAATTTAAATAAATAGTATTGAATAATAGTTTGAAGACGATCTCGTCTTTAGTGAATAGACTTGTTCAGCATCAAAGATATTGCTGTGATAGACCTTAAATAAAAAAGAATATTAGTGAAAGTTTAAAAAAATGATAATCTTTGGCTAGCATCAACCGTAATGAGACTATCAGTGTTATTATATAAAAAACCCAGACATCTTGGTATTATTTGTCAGATGCTAATATAAAATAAGTAACGTAACCGAATTGCTTGTGTTGAAAGTTTAAATATATTCATGCTTTTCATCCTTTCAAATGGTTCGAAATTTTAAGAACTTGTTAAGTTCTTTTCTAAAATTGATTGGTCTATCAGGTAAGTGCTCGCGCGCGAAACTGATAGTTCCTGAATTCAAATCTTGCAAGGCGGGATCGTGGATACGCACTGCTAAGAGTCCCACAATAGGACGAAACGGCCGTCAAGCAGTGCTTCCAGGTTTTCCATGGTGGTGTAGCTTTAACTGATTAATGATTTCAACTATACAAAATTACTAAAACCTCCCTAAAACCACTTTGTGAAATATTTTACCTAATTTCATAAAGATAAAGTTCTACATTATTGATAAATCCCCTCTATAGATACGAAACTCATGAGAATAACAACACTTTAAATGAATTGCCCTAATGAATTCAGTTCAACTGCTTTGAATTTAACATTGACATCTATCTATTTAGCCTTTCTCTTGTTTTTCAAACCGCAAAAAAAGGTTTTCATAAATTCTAACAAATAACGTATGTTCTTATCTTTTTCAAATTATTTTCGACTGCTTCATGGTTTCATAGTCTATTATTTTCTTTTCTTTACTCCCCTTACTTTCAAATTTCAATTCCGCTATCATCCTTTCCGACATGCAGAAAAAGGTAGTTTTATGATTGTATCAATTTTTTTTCCAATGTTATATATATACGTATACATATTCTGGTGTTTCAGTTAGAGTTTACCAGTATAGACAATTAACAAATATACCCAAGAAAAAAACTATTTTTATCTCCCAAATAATAAAGGAAAATATTACTATTTAGAAAACAGGACTATACTAAAAAGAAATTACCTACATATTCTTTTCTTACCCGGAGAATGAAACGATTTATCTCTAGCCAATATCCACCCTATTTCTCACCTCATTTTCAAAGTAATAAAGTTAAAGCATTTTTTTTTAAAAAAAAGATAAGGCATAAAATTATTGTTATAAAATGGGGGTGAATTCCTTGTTAATAGTTTCTTTCAGATATAATAAACTGTTTTAAACGAGTTATGAGTGAATTTTTTTTTCAAAAAAAAAAACAAATTTTTATCCCCTTTTGATTAAGTGTACACATGTATTGTGCAATGTAGACAATAATATTACTGATATTCTGGATGTTTGTCTTTTTTCTTTACATACGTTTGCCAACAACAACGGAAAGATTGTAATTAGGTTTAGAAGTTGTTAAAAAACTTCACTATACAGTTCCTCTTTTTATACATGAATATCTGTCTGTATAAACTGGTGTTTATACTGTATAACAGAAGACTGGTGTTAATAGTAAAGTTGAAATATATGCAAGTTATAATTATTTTATAAACTTATAGCATCTTATATATTGACAGTTTTTGATATTAACACTAACAAGCTATATTTTCTCTGAATACAGGTTTGTTATAAATATATATATTTATATAAGTGTGTAGTTAGCAGAGATGGATAGTGGCTAGCAGTGGAATCCAGGACGCGCGTTTCGTCCTATTTGGGACTCGTCAGCTGGATGTACCTGCATCTCACAGTTGATGTTCACCCTGGGATTCGAACCCAGTACCCTCGCTTCCAACGCCATCGCGTTATCCACTCGGCCACTGAGTCCTGATAGCCACTTGCTTGTGCGATGGGGTGAAGTTTAAATTCAACTTAGTATTTTTCGTTTGAATCTTCCCATTAATATTTCGGACTGCAACTGGTCAGTCTCTAATTGGCATATGTGCATACTGTGAGTATTGCCTCGATATACCTTAATTCACAAGCATGATTAGCAGAGATGGATAGTGGCTAGTATTTTTACAAGCTTCTTTATAGAATTCGATAAATGTGAAAAGTGAATTTTGATTGATGTTGTAAATGGATCAATGTTAGACCACCATTGGAAACTTAGAAGCACTAGACGGTCGTTTTATCCCGGTATGAGACTCGTCAACAGCGCCATCTACGATCCTGTACACGGGACTCGAACCTCGGATTTATCAGTCACGCGCGCGGACGCTTAAACTCTAGACAACTAAGCTGGCTATCAAACGTGTTATTGTTTAACTTCAACCAATCCATGAAATTGTGCCACCGTTCATCATTGCCTTCAATGAGTTACTATCTTACAACAGACCTACCAAGGAGTCCACACTAGGACAAAACAACCATCCAAAGCTTCCAGATTTTCCATAGTGTTCTAGCTTCAATCGACTAATGAATTCAAATATTAAATTACTAAAATTTCCACAAAACCCCCTTTTGATAAACCTGATACTTTCATATAGGTTCTAATTAACTCTAGCATCCCACGTTTACATATATTCTAATTAAATTTTTAACAACTAGATTATTATTATTACTATACATCTGAACATAATTAATTATTATTATTATCCAAATAGTTTTTTTCTTAAAATTTATAATTGAATCTTTTAAATAAGTTAAAACTCTGCCAAATCTAATTAATTTAGTTCTCAGTTAATTTAAGTAATATAAATAAGCATCAATGAATTTATTTTTGTTCTTTTTATTCAGTTATAAATAATCTATTTATTATTCACATAATGAATAAAGATGAAATTATGATGTGAAAATAAAGAACAAATATAACCAAATCGGGTAATCTCATACAATTGTTAAATTCACTTACTATAGTTTGTTTGAATCTTCCCATTGATGTTTAGAACTGCAACTTGTCAGTCATTTATTGGCAAATGTGCATACTGTACGTATTGCCGCGATATAGCCTGACCAGTTGCAGTCCTAAACATCAATGGGAAGATTCAAACAAACGATACCAAGTAAATTTAAACTTCACCTCATTGCACAAGCAAGTGGTTATCAGGACTCAGTAGCTGAGTGGATAACGCGGTAGCATTTGAAGCGAAAGGTGCTGGGTTTGAGTACCAGAGTGAACATCAACTCTGATGCAGGTATATCCAGCTGACGAGTCCCAAACACGACGAAACACGCGTCCTGGATTCCACTGCTAGCCACTATCCATCTTTAAATAAATAATTGTCGAAATAACTTTCTCCCGCCTAATTACTCGATATTTGACCCGAAACGATGTGAAACGATGTGTACAGTTCAGACACTCATAAGCTATAAAAATATCTTCCGATAATTTGAAATTAAAAATTTTAAAATCAGTATTCGATAAACCTGACCTTTATTGATACTTCGAGGGAAATCTAAAAGTATATACCGTAAATCGAAAAATAAAAGCGGAAGCATCTTTCTCAAGATAATGAAATGACTACAGAAACTAATGAACATAATCATAAACTGAACTAAATGAGACCCTTTACATAATATACCCAGATGTTTCTTATGAACAATTGCGAGTTATCAAATGTGTACTATTTCATTGTTGTAATGAATTCATTTTAATTTTCAGATTCACAGGATTCTGAAGTTCAGTCACATATTCATACTCCAACTCCTTCTACTACTTCAGTTCATGTTAAGTGTGATTATACACTTTCGTCAAATGTAACAAATATCACTGAGTTACACAAGAATAATTCAAATGAACATAATAAAAATCTCATGAATGTCAAAACAATTAATTGGGAGTTATTATTAAATCCATTTAATCAGTTAAAGTTGAATGCAAAAAATAAACGTAATGGATTTGTACATGATGAAGGCATAGATTTGTTTACACCGAAAATCAATAGATTCACTGATCCTAAAGTAAGCAAAAGAAAAATCGATTGTCAGATAACAGATCAACAACAACGTCGTGACAAAAGACAGCTTGATTACGATGTTTATTGTAAGTTGAGGAAACGAGTTCTTCGATTTCAAAATAAATAATGTATTATTATGTGCTTCTTACTTACACTTACATAAAATCAATCATTTCTTACACAAGGTTCATATAATTACTTACTTTTTTGATATGTCACTTATTTTCAAAGTTTAATTTGAACACAAAATACTAATAATTTGTAAATACTTTACCATGTAAAGATGACTCTCGCAAGTCAACATTTGAAAATCAGTCCAACAGGGTCTGTTGTGAAATAGTAACTCATTGATAACAATAGTGGATATTTCGCTCAATTCCGTGTATTAGTTGAAGTTAGACATTAACATCGTTGGATGCCGGTCAGATCAGTGGTCTAGAGGTTAAGCATTCACGCGCGAGACTGATAGGTCTTGGGTTCGAATCTCACTAGGCGGCATCGTGGACGCGCACTGTTGAGAAGTCCCACAATAGGACGAAACGACGGTTCAATGCTTCCATGTTTTCCATGTTAGTCTAGCTTCAATTGACGCATGATTTCAACTAATTAAATTATTATTTATTTGTTACTGATAAATACATCAATATCAGCAACTTTCAAGATGTGATTCCTCATCTTTGAGTCTAATATTCTATTCTTCTGCCTAAGGCATTGATTGTATTCTTTGTATAACATTACAGACTCTGTAGCCCAAAGCGGTTACCATTATTGCTTTGTGAAAGTTTCTTCCACAAAACTAGCTATTTAGATTTGTACTCATTGTCAAGTCTCATTTTTCATCAACACCGAACCCAAGAAGCTAAATAAAAAAAGTGATTCATGATTTAAGGATACTTCTGAAGAATAGTTACTTTACATATCCATCAAAAACATCTCTCTTTTATTAAAGCTGAAAATAAATTGGATAGCTAATCTATTCATTTGATGGGAAAATATTTAAGCCTTCTATATGTGAAAAGAAAACGGTTATAATGATTCACTTAGTATTGTTTGTTTGAATCTTCCCATCGATGTGTTAGGACTGCAACTGGTCAGTCTCTAATTGGCATATGTGCATACTGTGCGTATTGCCTCGATATAGCCTTGATTCACAAGCATGATAAGCAAAGATGGATAGTGGCTATCAGTGGAATCCAGGACGCGCGTTTCGTCCTATTTGGGACTCGTCAGCTGGATATACCTGCATCTCAGAGTTGATGTTCACTCTGGGACTCGAACCCAGTACCCTCACTTCAAACGCCATCGCGTTATCCACTCGGCCACTGAGTCCTGATAGCCACTTGCTTGTGCGATGGGGTGAATTTAATAGTTTTAATAGCTAGCATTAATAAATTAATTTCATAATTGTGAATTTTGTAACATATGTAAATCTGTTTGCAGCAAAATAATCACTGAAAATCAGCAAGCAATGGATAGCTGTTTTGTTCCAATGTGAAATACCTCATCGATCCTGCTCCATGGCTTTAAAATAGATTAAAATCAGAACCTTCATGCTTTGTGGGGGCTCAACTTCTAGATCATTTTGTTGAGATTAAACAGTTGGTATTTTCAACTCATTAAAGACTAAATTCCTGGGGTAATTTACACGCTTCTAGTAAAAAGTTGTAACCAGTAGAGTCCAAACATTTTATGTGTAAGGTAATTATACACCAATAGTCCCGGATAACCCTCACTCAGTACTACCAAGTGACTGAAGTCAGGAATCCCAACAATTGAATGGAAACCCGATGGTTTGAAACGTAAGTCGTCGCCAAAATGTCTGGAGGTCCTGGGTCCTAGTGACATCTTTAACCCACACAGACAAGAAGTCTTATATGGGGTCGCAGCATCTGCACAGTACTTATTTGATCCCAATGGTTGCCTTACTACAGTCAATCTCCAGCGTACAACTCAAAAATATTGAAAACCGTTTATCTAGACCCTCAAAGTGATTAAAAAAATTATTTCAAATAGTTCAACAAATATTACAAATCGTACTATTTTTATGACAATTCATCTGATCTACTAATTTAAATCCTTCTAGAAGTAAAAAAAACCGAAATACCAACTGATTATTTTTTAAATGGTAATCAACACATAAGCAACAGTGATCAATGATAACCATTCAGTTTAATAACAGCGTATTTTCATCACCAGTAAAAATTAAATAACCAGCTGTCTGGACGTTAATAACTACCTATCATCTAAATGTTTTGCTACATATTAGATGAATTTTCCGAGGATATATAGCTTATATTTAATTTTAAAATAATATTTACTAAATGTTTCAATCGTAAAACATTGAATAGAATAGCACTAAATTAATCACTTTAAAGTGATACACATTTCTGTGAAACTTCCTCCAATATTTTATGTTGCATCAGTTTGAATTGCTAATACGTCAGAATATTGATTTTCTTTGTTTCATTTAAGAAAATGATGCTCATAAAGAAAATTCTTCAGTATTATACAAATAGGAATTATTCAGTTAATCCACGTACACAGATATCACGGGTCATTGTTTGGCGTTTTGTACAGTTACATATCCAGTACTACTTAATTTAAATGGCTTTTAAGCTGTTATCGATAGATGATGATGAAACTACTATCAACATGAATATTCTTCAGATTGAGTTTGTCAAGGTACGAAATTTTCTCTTTGCACAACTATACAATTGTTATATCCATGAATATTAATTCCTGATTATTGAAGACATGAGATGTACTAAGAAATCCTACATAAACATGCTGATTATCTCCAAAAAATATTGTCACAGTTAAAATAATACAGCGAAATTCAAAAATGAAAGTCATGTTCTTTTGACATTCTATGAATATACGACGAAAACATCGTCATCAAAATTAAACCCAGTAATCATAATTCTAGGATTTTAATCGAATGTACCTGACAATCGTGTAATATCAAAATACGTAACCACTTTTCTCATTTCCGTTTAAATAATACTCGTCCTGGTATATATTTTATAAACTATTTCATTTTTTATTTATAGATCCATCTAAATCTGTTCGTTTGGATACAAACTTATCTCCAGATTATTTCGTTCAAGTTGGTACTATACTTGAAATTAAATGTACTGCTGAACCGGGTAATCCACCTCCAAAATTATCACTTTTACGTCAACGATTTGATGAATCTAAGGCAACAGTTATACAAACTAAAACAAAACATCTCAGTCAGTCAAATTCTTTTATAAATATACATAAAGACATAACTCAAGAATTTATGGTCACATTAAGTGAAGAAGATAATGGTGCTTCTTTTTTCTGTGAAGTTACTAGTACTGGGATCAAATCAAGCAAAGCCCGTTCTGATAGTGTACGATATAATGTATCATGTAAGTATTTCAACAACTACAACTTTTATTTATTGATGTAGATTAATTAGAATTTTTAATGCAAGAGTTTAAAGATATGCCAACGTCCTTGTTGAGCCAAGACCTTTAACTATCAGCTATCACTGAATAAAATAAACTCAGAACTAGTATTGTTTTGACAAGGATTATTCTTAGAAAAATTATTGATAGACTATAAAATTTACTACTATTTTTCTTTGAAGCGTTAAGAATAAAAAAAGAACGATCCTAAAAAAATGTTATATACATTTTGCTATCCACGTAGAAATACATAAGAACTAATATATATATATATATATATATATATATATATATATATATATATGAACTTTCGTCTAAATTAGAGCGAATAGTTTCACAGTATTCGGGCGCCGAGTTGATGTAAGACATTAAATAGGAATAATATATTTGTAACTAGTAGTTTTATAAAGTAAACTTTTGTAAAGGTCACTATGGAGATCTTTCTACTGATTTACAATTGATATGATGAAAAAATACAGTTGCTTATATAATGTTCAAGGAAAGGAATAATACAACAGTAGACTACCTACATTTACTTTTCACTATTCAAAAACGCACAGATTTTTATCGTTTGATTAATGCTATCAAAGTTGCGAAAACAAGTAATTGTACGATGTTGTTAATACGAAATTGAGTCTTTACTATTAGTTGAACTATAATGTAAGTATGCGAATTGTAATTTATACAAAAAAGAGTATTAAAATTTGAGTTAACTGCCTAACAGACACAAACGAAAGGCTTCATGAACTTGGTTCCTTTTACAAATGTAAGGCAAATACAATGATTTGAGCAGGATTATGTGACTGCATTATATTTCTTTGATTCCTTTCAGTACTTTGTTTTATCCTTAATGAAAAATAACTTGATTGCTTATAATCAAATACTAGTACCTATAAATAAATGAGGTTGATAACTTAATGTAATGGTTAAATTTGAAAATTTCAGCTACATTGAAAAATTAAACTAAGTAAATACAAGCGAAAAATACTTTTAGAAAGAACCATATGACTGACAGGGGATCAAGAAGACGGTTTTAATAGATAAAGATGCTTACTTACTTACTTACTAACACCCTTTGCTACTCGTGAAGGAGCATAGGCCGCTTATCAGCATTCTTTATCCAACTCTATCCTGAGCAGTCCTTTCTAGTTTCTTCCGGTTGCTATCTATACTTTTAATGTCTGCCTCCAATTCTCAGAGCAATGTGTTTTTTTGGCTTTCCTATTTTCATTTTCCCTTAAGGATTTCAAGTTAGAGCTTACCTCGTGATTCATTTTGTTGTTTTTTACAATGTATATCCTATCCGTTTCCGAAATCGTTTCCTAACTTACTCTTCAGCTAGAAGTTGGCTTGTTCTCTCCCACAGTAGGCTGTTTCTAATGGTATCAAGCCAACGGACGTTGAGTATCTTACGTAGATAATTGTTTATAAATACTTTTACCATTTTGATGAAGGTTGTGGTGGTTTTCTAGGTCTCAGCTCCATACAGCAGAACTGTTTTGACGTTAGTATTGAAGATTGTGACTTTATTATTGGCTTGCATACAGCTGTTGTGAGTTTCATATGTTCTTCGACTTTAGGAATGCTGCTCTTTCTTTGACATCAATTGTAACTGGTTTGGTGTTTTCTGTGTTGTATTTGAGGATCTCGCTTTTTTCCTTGTGTATTTGAAGGCCTACTGCTGCAGAAGCATACGCTACAGTTGTTGTCTTAACCTGTATTTGCTCATGCATACAGGACAGAAAGGCTAGGTGAAATGCAAAGTTCAAGTCATCTATTTGCATCTAACCTGTCCATTGTATTTCATGTTTCTCTTCGGATTTAGAGGTCTTCATAATCCAGTCAACTATCAGAAGGAAGAGAAAGAGGGAGGCTAAGCAGCCTTATCTGACTCCAGTCCTAGATAAAAATTCAGATTCATCAATTACTAAGAAAGTATAGTAAAATACAGATAAACGAATTCGATAAATAACGAACAATTTAAATATATATATATGGAAGTATCTAGGTAAAGATTACTTTCCAAAATATGCGACGATATTATCGACCATTTATTGTAGTTTAACATAATCTACGAAAACTATTTTTAAAAAAGCACCATTTTGTATTGTTTGTAACAAAAGTGTTTCAATGATCGAAAATTAAAGAAAAGAGGTAAATATAAAGAAACGTTATATCAGTTAACAAATATTCTAATGGATATCAGTTTTGTTCTTGTCTGATAGTGGAATAAACAGATTACTTTAACGTTCAAAATTATGTTTAAATTGTATTGATGACAAAGAAAAGGGAAACTTAAAATCGCATGAAGAGTACCATATTGTCTGTAGTGTAATGGTAGAATACAAATTGGACTTATTGATGTAAGTAAATTTGAAAAAAAATAGTTTAATTTAAACTAAAAAGAAAAAATCTAGTTTACGACACAACTATAGACAGTTTAGTAGCTATTTCATTATAAATCATTTAAATCATACAGCTCACTGATGAACAAACAAATGAAATTTGATATTTTCATTTAAAGCCTACTTTATCCAACCTATATCCATCTGACGAGTCTCAAATAGGACGAAATGCGCATCCCAGATTCCAATGATAGCCACGATCTATCTTTATTTGTGATGCTTGTGACTTAAGGCAATATCAAGGCAATCCAAACAGGATGTACATATTACAACAAGAGACTGATCAAGCGTTGTAGATAAAATTTAATAGGAAGATTCAAACGAACCATAGATAATGAATTCCACCTCACTGTTTGTTTTTAGTATCCATAATAATTTATTTAAAGTGAGCTAGCTTCAAAGAATGATGGATCTAAACGACATTACATTGAATAAAATAAAGAGTTGTGGATCAAATGTAGACATGTTCTAGAGATCACTACTTACTTCAAATAATGTTCATTTTCAAGTAGATTTACTATTACTTCTATACTATTTGAACTTTTCTCTCTTACTGATATATAAGTCTATTTACCAGTTTTTTTCCTTCTTCTAAATCTTAAAAAATATAGTTTAAACTACGCATACATTTGTGTTATCTTCTTATTTCTTTAATCTCATTCATTTTAACCTATATCTGTATGGAGGACTTTCTTTTTTTCAATTATTGCAAAATACGGTTAACTGAAATGGTACATTTGTATACAATGTTAGACTTAATGTTTAAAGTGTTAATAGATTTCCTTTTTCTATAAAATTACTAAATGATCATTTGGATAACAACAAATAACAACATGCCTTTTATCAATAATGATATTTTTTCAATGAATGTAATCAATTTATGTAGTTCAGTGAATAAAATATTAACTCATGCTAGCGTGAGACTGATAGGTCCAGGGTTCGAGCCTCTCTAGGCGGGATCGTGGAAGCGTACTGTTAAGGAGTCCCACAATAGGACGAAACGGCCGTCAAGCAGTGCTTCAACGTTTTCCATGGGGGTCTAGCTCCAATTTACACATGAACTCAACTATTGAAATTTCTTGTTTATATGCTGTTTTGAGAATTGTCAACTTTTATTACCTTTTTTTTAAAATTAATCTAATAAATCAGAAACTGAATGCTCCTAATCTAGCTAAATAAGAAATTTATGATCCTAGACAATTACGTAACTACAGAAAAATTATTATTATTAGATCAAACAATGGAAACATTATTATTGTTATGAGTAACTCTGATTATGATAGAAAAGTCGACGAATATCTCCACAATGGATCTTAACAAAAAAGATCATAAATAACAGATATTTGAAATAATATTGATGTTTGAATTCACTTAGAATTGTTTGTTTGAATCTTCCCATTGATGTTTAGGACTGCAACTGGTCAGTCTCTTATTTGCATATGGGCATACTCTGCGTATTGCCTCGATATAGCCTTAATTCACAAGCATTATAAGCAAAGATGGTTGGTGGCTTTCAGTAGAATCCAGGGCACGGGTTCCGTCTTATTTGGGATGTAACTGCATTCAAGATTTAATGTTCATTCTGGGACTCCAAACCAGTATTTTTCGCTTCAAACGCCATCACTTTATCTACTCAACTACTGAGTGCTGATAACCACTTGCTTGTACAATGGGATGAAGTTTATATTCACTTAGTATTATATGTTTGAATCTTCCCATTAATATTTAGGACTGCAACTGGTCAGTCTCTAATTGGCATATGTGCATACTGTGCGTATTGCCTCGATATTGCCTTAATGTACAAGCCACTATCCATCTTTGATGGATGTTTGATTTTATTTCTTTTAAAAAGCTTAGATCAGATTATCAAGTGAAACATTGAACTTACATGAAATTCATTCGCTGAGATATTACAACTACACTTTTTACATCTTAGTGTCTCATATCAACTCGACGCTCAAATACTTTGAAACTATTCAATCAAATTTAGACGAAAGTTCTTATTATATTAAATGTAAATGAACATTTATAAGACTTAGATTTCGGTATTATATTCTATCAATCGATTAAAAAGATTAACTGGATCTAATTGAATATGATTTTTTTTTAATTTTAAGATTTTCTATCTTTTCTAACAAACATCAGGTAAATCTTTGTTACTAAGTTGCATAACATTTCCTCTTTTTTTTTTAAATGATGCACTTTAATCAAAACATAAAGCATAAAAAGAAAGACAAAAAAATGTTTCCAATTCAATGGTCATTTTTACATGAAATAGACTTTATTTGTTATAAATTATATATCTACTGTATCATTTCATCTTTAATGCCGTTACATCTACGTCATTATAAGTAATAAGGATTACACTTTCTTTCATTTTTCATGATTGAAAGAAGGGAACATTTAAATTATTTTCAAGTAACAATATATAATACTTAAAATTGTCTCAGTTATTGATCAATCAACAAGTAACAAATACATACTTGAATAAATATATTTGTATGGGTAACTACTACTAATAATACTTTAATGTCCAGTTCAATTATCTCAAACTAA